TGTATAAGCCGCACCGGTCTATAAGCCGCATGGTTCAAAGTTCAGGAAAAAAAGTTGCGGCTTATAGTCCAAAAAATACAGTAATCTGACTGAAGGTCAGGTACAGTAAAAACATTTGGAGTCCAAGGAGTTACAAAAAAAGAACAATCACTGAAGAAAGACAGGCTAAAGGGCTCAGTATGCTCCATCTGAAGCTGAACAGTCAGGTCACCTGATTCCTTGATGTTAAATTTTGCACACACTTAGGGTCCATGAGCCTCACGGAGCAGAGCTCCTGGGAAACCCCTCATGTCACAACATGGGTTTCTTCCTGCTTGGAGAGTCCATTCTGATATCCACCATTTGTCCACAAATCTGTCTCAGTTAAAGCAGCAGATGAATTCCTTGGTGCACAATATCTGTGCTCTCTACCCTCGGGTGGTTTTAGCCATTGGACTATCTTTTTAAGTGACTGTGAGTCATATAGATAGATTTTTTTGTCTGAGCACTTTTCTGCATAAACAAACATTCCTACTAACCAATCACGCAATAATTTTGTATGCAGAGAGAAGTGAAAAGTTTGCCTGGGTGCTGAGAACAAAATTACGCAATTATTGTTACGCAGCTGTGACAAAGATACCAGGGTTCTGATGGACAATGCAAAGGGCTTTAAAAAAATGATTAATAGTTTAATGTAATGTAATGTACACAGGTGGGCAGCGCTAATTAAAAAGTTAGTTCTGCAATTTCTAAAGCGCTTATGAAAATAATTAGGTCCGCAATTTCTAATCCGCTGATGCAGTGGAAATATTAGCGGAAGCTAATTTTAGACCGCATGCTCAATTTGACACGTTCTAGCTGGCTACAATTTGTACACATTATATGTACAATGCTGCCCACTAGTGGTGTATGATCCCATGTACAGCTCATTTTACAACCGCCGATTGTTGGGGATATGATTTCCTCAAACAGAACTTTGGCTCATGGTCTAAAATTAAAAAACTTGTTGAGGCTTGCAGTTCGGCTGATTCTTTAAAAAGTTGTTGATTGCAGCTGCCTCTTTGTCTTTTTATTTTGTTTGTTGTAGATTTTTCATTAAAGAAGCTTCAATAAAATATTTTTAAAACTGTTTATTGGAAAACTGAAGTGACACATTCTGGGTACATCTGTGACGGGAAACGAAAAATACACGTAAATGTGTCCAGTGTGAGAATCTGCTCAGATTGTCCTCTGTGGGATCAGAAACGACTTTTAGATGCAGGAAATTTATAMATTAAATGGAGAATGAATGAGTGAGAAAATTGTCGGGTGTAAAAATTTGTTTGCAACTCGCAAAAGTGTGTGTGGGTGTTGGTGTGTGCGCGCGTGTGCTGCAGCGGTGCAAGACATTTCCACCTTTACAAGTCTTTAATAAATGACTGTAAACACAGGAACTTATGACTTTGGTAGAACTTAGAAAAATATTTATTAAATAGTTGAAGTTAAGGAACGAATGACTCGCTGCGCTGCGAGTTTCTGCCGCGGTGTAGAATATATATTTTAGAATCATGATGTTCCTCATTCAGATCAGCTGCATGACTCGACTCAGAACTACAGTAAAATACCTGATTGTACTTTGATACAAATAAACAAACAAAAAAACACGCTGTCCTCAATTCTTCTTGTGGTGATATCAGCCTGCAGAACAGCTGACATTGTTCCATAAATTACGCACAACTTTACGCAGCAACAGATCTATTGTCTGCATCTTGTGGAGCTGAGGAATCATCACAGCCGAGATGCTCCGAATCAACACGCTGAGTTCTTTCTCAGTGAGAACYAAAATCTTTCCTCACWCWCCTCAGCCGTGYGCGCGCTCCGCAGGCCACGTGCTCCACGTGCGACTCCAACCACGCGACAACAACACAAAAACTCCACAGTCCACAGTAGACCGGRGGCTCCCCGATCATTCCCAGGCCAATCCACCCTCCTGTCTGAGGCCAAATGATCCTTAGTCCCGGCTGGGGCCCAGCCCCACCATCGCTCGAGTCCAAACAACAAAAATGAAACAAAAAAATCTAACAGCGTGTTTAGATTTTTTTTTTTTTTTTTTCACTTTTATTGTTCAAACTCGAACGAAGATGAAACTGAACCCCGGGACTGAAAACCACCCAACCCCAGACAAGAAAACAGACCAGCCCAAAAATGATGAAAGAACTCTCAGTCCACTGCAAACTGCACAGTGTCTATACCGTTGCAACGCAGTTGGAACCACACACAGAGCGCACGGCCCGGGGAGCGCAGCACACACACAGCTGAGGAGAACAAAACGTGCGAAAGAAACACCCCAATTCTCACMGAGAAAAAACCCAGCACACCAATTCAGATCATCTCAGCTGCGACGACTCCCCCGCCCCACAAGACGCAATATTTGCTGCGTAAAGTTGTGCGCATGGATCAGCTGTCAGCTGTTCCCAGTCCCACACTCGCAGGAACTCACAGCGCAGACGCTCCTCCTTACATCCAGAAAACAGAACAGAATCATATTTCTGTTAGCCTGGTAAAAACCAGACCCTGTCCTTCACTTTGCTTCGTACAAGGGTCTGGACTTGATGCATAGAGAATCTATTCTTGCAGGAGGCGTGGCCTCTGCTGAAGCATGTGTGTGTTGTCAGTGTGACGGAGGCTAAGCTAAGAAGCTAACCGGAAATCACGTGTGCTGTAAACAACCCTACTGAGAGGAGAAATATACCGAGCCGAACGAGACAACTGTAAATGAGAGCTGCTGCTTTCACTTCCTCCACTGCCTTATGCTAAAATAACTAGCAGACACTGAGCAGAACATCGACGTCATTCAAAACTTCGCCTTCTGTTTGCTGATTGGCCCAGGTAAAATAAACTACAAACAGACACTGCGCAGAAAATTGACGTTCTGTTCTCTGATTGGCCCCGCTAAAAATCTGCCAGTGAAATCCATGTCAATGGGAGAAGTCCCAGA